AAAAACAGAAGAAAAAAAAAAAAGAGAGGAAAAGGAAGACGAATCCAAAGACAAGACAAACTTCTTAAACAAATTCAATTCTAGTGGATCTTTTTAAAATTTGGATAGCTTTTCTTCTTATTCCCAAATTGCATCTTTATTTCCAAGAGTTACAATAAATTCTAAGAATTTATTTCTATATTTTTTGGACAATTACATTTCAATTCTCCTCCCCCTTTCCATTGTATTTTAAGACTGACAATTACAGGGTCACAAAAGAATGTTCATACATTAATTTTCTTATAGCATTAGGACCATGTCTTGGTTTAGTGTCACTTCTATTTTTAACATTCATTTTGGAATATGGATATTATTCTCACTTAGACCATTTTGTTTTAAATATTTATTTATTTATTTGAGAGAGAGGGAGAGAGAGACAGAGAGACAGTGCATGCATGCATGTTAGTTGGGGGAGGGACAGAATCTTAAGCAGACTCTCCGCTGAGCATGGAGCCCCACTTGGGGCTTGATCCATGATCCAGGAAATCATGTCCCATGAGATGATGACCCATGAGATGATGCCTGAGCTGATACCAAGATTCTGAGCCACTCAGACACCCGTCACTTAGGCAATTATTTTTCTTTTGCCTACAAGACATTCAATGCTCTTTGCTTGCCAACTGTCTATTTCAACTCTCCCAAATATTAAAGAATGTTCTTATACTTCTGGAGTTCCTCATGTTCATCAATAATGTATCTGTTTCCTCACAGCAATGAGTCAGTCTGTTCATTTTCTTGAGCGAAAAAGGGAACTTGACATATGTCTTGGGGCCTTTCATTAAATCATATTTCTTTCATTCAGCTACACTTTTTCCTATCTCTTAAGTTATAAAGAAATTTATTTTCTGCTCCTGGAAAGGGAGTCTACTGTACTGATCTTATGGTTACTTCATTCAGTGGAAAATGAGAGACACCCTCCATAGTCTCACTGTCACTGGCTAACCCTTGTCTTACACCAAAAATAAATTTTCATATACTTCTTTCAGTCCTATAGATATCTCAGTGAGAATGCGAAAGTTTTTGTTTTGTTTTGAATGTAGGATTCCCTCCTGTAGAGTGCTATTGGATAAATAGTAATTCAGCTGAGATTCCAACTGGAAACTAAATTGTGTTCACTCAAGCAATGAAATTTTTGAAGATACCTTCAGACGACAACTGAGGAAGATGTGTTTGAAGTCTGTTGGGATGCAGAGAGACTCCCAAGGGTTGTTCCTGGAAAACTTTTCTCAAAGAGAGAGTGAAAGCACAGTTTTGTTGTTGTTGTTGTTGTTGTTTGTTTGTTTGTTTTTTCTTTGTCAAATATTTTATTGGGGGAGGTTCACATATTCTGACCCTGTCTTAGGCCAGAGGATGACAAGAAGGTGACAGGAGCACTGGGACCCTGAAATGGCTTAGATGGAAGCTCCAAGAACCATGTCCAAAAGTCTGTTCCTCAATGCCTCAGTTTCCCCTTCATGAAATGGGAGAGGTATGTTCCCTTCTGGGTCTGAATCACTGTTTGAGAAGATAAAAGTGGGGCAAAAGCCACAAGAAAGAATTTCCCCACTCCCAGAACCTACTCTGAAGCTCCTACTTCACACCAAGGAGCCACAAAAAGGGAATCTGGAAAATGAGGATAAAGATAGCCATCTTTAAGTGTTGTTGTAGATCTCAAACATAATATAAAATACCTCCATGCCTATCATGGTAGTTGACCTACAAATACTAGATTCTCTCCCTATTGTTTTGTTCTAAATATAAGTAGGGACTAGATCCTGGAGGATTTTATGTATTAAGCCAAGGCATTTGGACTTTATGATGTAGGTAAGATCTACTTTTAAGTTCTAAGGACTTGCATATTAGCAAGATCCATATTGGTAAATATGAATTAATGTGGAATAAAACTTAAGAAGGGCGACTAGGCATCTCCTGGGGATAGTCTAGGCAAGAGATAATGAATATCCAAACCATGGCACAGTAGGAAGGGTGAAGGGAAAAAAATGAAGTCCAAAGATTGTACCAAGGCTTTTACCTTGAGGGTCCAGGGTGAAGACTGGCATTATTCTATGAATGCCTCCTGGGTTTGGACAGCTTGCTAGCCCTGGATTATACCCGAGTTTGGATAACTGGATAAAAAAAATGATCCATTCATTAGTGCAGGAAATGTAGAGAGGAAGAAGCAAGCAGTTTTAACAGGAAAGATGTTGAATTCATTTTGCAACTACTGAGTGAAATTGATGTGCATGAAGAAAAGAACTCCAAGTTTAGGAAGCTATATGCGTGTGGAGTCAATGGCATATATTTTGTAGTTTAATGAACCAAGGACTACGTATAGATCCCTGGGTAACACTAATACGACACAGGCACATTATATAAATGAAGCCAGTGAAGGTGAACGAAGAGGAAAGATTGGAGAAAAAAAGTTGTATGTATGGGGAGGGAGGGATAATGAGAGATTGATTTTATAGCTGTTGATGGAGAAAGACATTTTTAAAAGGTTGAATTAGGAAATAGCATCAAATGCATGAGAGAACAAGTGAAAAATCAGATGCAAAATGACCATTGGGCTTTTCAAGGCAGAGCTTATTAGTGATGTGATAAGGGGCTGAAAAGCTCTGAATGACCCGATCAATAAGCTTGGATATGATGAGTAAGAATAAGTTAGAACATTATCCATAAAATAATATGGGATCTCACACATGTTTAAAAGTGGAGGAGTGCTAAGCATATTTTAAGCTGGTGAGAGGTGATGGGGTTACTGAAGATACAGGAGCCCAAATGCCATGGAGGGATTTGTCCTGTCACCGAGTGGTGATAGGACAAGTTCAGCTCTGTCCTCACAGCTATTCAGCAACTCATTGCAATTTTATTCCTCTCTTTCATCTCCCACTGTTCATGCCATACCTTCTGCAAATTCCTTAAATACTGGATCTCATCTCTCACCTTCTCACTTTCTCCAGATGTTTCTCTCCAGATCTCATACTTCTCAAGGAAAAACAAAAAACAAAAAACAAAAACACAGCAAAGCAAACCATCAGCTTGGAATCTGCAGCCCTTTGCCTGGATGTGTGGTGTGTAGGAAAATGAGCAAATTTCATCAGGGAAGTGATGGGAGAAGCAGTATGTTAAAGAAAGATAACAAGTTTTGGGTAAGTCCCCCAAAGAGGGGGAACTAATTACCAAGAGGATGACAATGAGTATGTAGAAGAGGTCTTTACCATATGAGGAGAAATCCAGAGGACAAAATGAACAGAGTTGGGAGGAAGTCAGCCATGAGCAAATGGGTCTCAGGGGCTGATAATCAAAACATATGAGGATCAGGGTACTGGAGGGGATTCAAACTCTTGTCATAAAGTAGACAGAAAGCTACTTGAGAAAAGCATACATTTCCATGAAGGAGGAAAATCCTAACTGGGAGTTAGAGATGGTATGTATGAGGGTTCAGAGGAAGAGGTGAGATGAGAAGGGGAGAAATAAGCCTTCCATGGCTCTAACCATCCACAGACATTCATTTCTTACTTTAAAAATAGGTACTACTTGGGGCACCTCGGTGGTTCAGTGGGGTAAGCATCTGACTCTGGATTTCGACTCAGGTCATGATCTTGGGATTGTGAAATTGAGCCCCACAGCCCAGTTTCGCGCTTAGTGAGGAGTCTGCTTGAGATTTTCTCTTTCGCTCTGAGCCTCTCCCTGACTTGCGCATTCTCTCTTTCTCTCTCTAAAATAAAGAAGTAAATCTTGAAAAAAAAAAAGATACTGTTTTGTCAGGGGCAAGTGAGTTTCTAAACAGGAAAAAGTATGTAGATGCCAGACACACACAATTCTATGTTTATTAAATGAATGAAAAAAGAGGTGGAGGGGTATCTGCAGCATATTCTTAAAGTGATAACAGGTAGGTTCAACGAACTGGGTAGGTCTGTGTGTGTGTGTGTGTGTGTGTGTGAAAAAGAGAGACACAGAGAGATCCCAAATGCTAAGAGATGTTCTCTGGGAGTGGTGGGCCAAGAGATTTCACTGAGGTCCGGAGCTTAAACCTTATTTAATTCCAGGGTCTCCTTTAAGAGAAAAAGATATAAGTGTATGAAAGCAACTTAGGTGCATAATTAAATATTTGTCTATGAGATCCAAGCTATAAAAATCTCTGTATGATTTTTATAGTTGAAAAGATCATTAGAAATGGTTTCTAATCAGGAGGACTACAGAGCTTGAGTTCGTGTGGTCATTTATGATGCATTTCAAGAAAGTCATCCTCAAGATTCCTAGCCTGACCTTACCCTTGAATTTTATTTGCTTCTATGAAGCACCATAGAAAAGTATCCTGAAACAAGAAGAAATTCATAGTTGGACAACTCCTTTTATTTGGAAAGCCTGTTTTTTCTTTTAAAAAACAGACAATGTAGAGTGCGTGGGTGGCTCAGTCAGTCAAGCGTCTGCCTTCAGCTCAGGTTATGATCCCAGGGTCCTGGGATGGAGCCCTGCGTTGGGTTCCCTGCTCAGTGGAGAGTCTGCTTCTCCTTCTCCTTCTTTCACTCCGCCTGCTTGTGCTCTCTCTCTCTCTCTCTCAAATAAATAAAATCTTTAAAATTTTTTTAAATGTTAAAAAAGGACAATGAATTGTACTGATTTTAGTAATCCAATGTAAGAATGTTTACACAAATTGGGTGACTTACTCCCCAAAAAAGAGATGTTGCTGTATTTGACATTCTTTTTTTATAGCCTGAGCTTGTCCTTACTTCCCTGTAGAAACACTTGCCTGCCTGGCATCACACTTTAAATGGGAAAGTGTTTCTGCTGAAGGGTTTCCTCAGTAACAGGAAGTGACTGTGTAAGAGAGGTTTTATAGTGGTTGACTTTATCCTCTCAGTCATCAAGGAAGTACATTACTGTAAATGATTTGGGGACTGTCCCCATAAATTCTTCTGGGTGAACACACTGTTGAAGGGTGTTTTGAGAAAACGTAGAAAAAAAAGGTGGTTTCTTACCTTTAGGGAACATGAATTTCTGTGACTTGGTGTGGCTCCCAGGGTCACCCCTTTAAGATCGGGAGAAGCATTCCTCTCAATCAGATCTCGGATTTTATTGTCCAATTCCATGCTTTCACATCTGCGCAGGGGGGAACAGGAAAGGCACATTTTATAAAGCCAATTAAAAATTATTTAAGGGTACAATGAGTTTTCAATGGCATGGAGGTATACAGTACCTTTCTAGAATCTCCCAATCTCTGACATCATTTTGTATTAGTCCATGCCATTAGAGCACTTCAAGGAACACGGGAGTTTAATTTTCACTTTCTTGCACATTTATACAAAATGATAAAGTAAGATGCAGACAAGTTATGCATTTTCACAGTCTGATAACAATGACCAGAACTGAGCACTTACAGTGAACCGGGTGACCTGCAGTTTCTTACTCAGTGGCACAAGAGTCCATTGAGGTATCACCCATCACCGCATTTTACAGTTAAGCAAACTTGGATTTAGGAAATTAACCAACTTACAAATTTATGCAAAGTCAAACGCTGGCAGGGTCAAGAGAAAACTCAGATCTATAGGATTCTATAGCCTCTGTGTGTGCATGTGCCTGTGCATGTGTGTTTTATTTTTTTTTTACTTTTTTACTATTTTATTTTTCATTTGTTCCTTCCAGTTATGTTGAGCAATAATTGTCATAGATTACTGTATAAGTTAAAGTATGATGGTTTGATTTACATATATTGTGAATTGATTACCACGATAGGGTCAGCTAATATCCATCTTCTCATATAGATATAATAAAAAAAAAAAAAAAGAAAGAAACATTTCTCCTTGTGGTGAGAACTCTTATGAGCTACTCTCTTAACAACTTTCCCATACATCCTACAGCAGTGTTAGCTCTAGTCATCATACTGTACATAGCATCTCTAGTCTTTACTTATCTTATAACTGCAAATTTGTACCTTTTGACCACCTTCCTCCAGTTGGCACTTCCCCCACCTGCTCTGGTAACCACAAATCTGATCTCTTTTTCTGAGAGTTTGGTGGGGGTTTTCTCATCTTGTGTTTTTTTTTTGTTTTATTTTGTTTCGTTTTGTTGTTAGATTCCACATATAAGTGAGATCACATAGTACATACAGTATTTGTCTTTCTCTGTCTGACTTATTTCACTTAGCATAATGCTTTTAAGGTCCATCCATGTTGTCACAAATAGTTGTATTTCCTTTCCTGACTGAATGATATTCTATTGTATAGGGGCAGCTGAATGGCTCAGTTGGTTAAGCGTCTGCCTTTAGCTCAGTTCATGATCTTAGGGTCCTGGGATCGAGCCCCACGCCAGTCTCCCTGCCTTCCCACTCTCCCTTGCTTGTGCTCTCTCTTTCCCTCTCTCTCTCTCAAATAAATAAATTAAATCTTTAAAAAACTATCTATATCTATATCTCTCTCTCTATATATATATACATACATACACACACATCCCCACCACTACTTCTTTATCTATTCATCACTGATGGACAGTTAGGTAGTTTCCATGTCTTGGTTATTATCAATGATGATGTTTCTTAACCATTCTTGCTATATGTTTGCAATTAACCTGAGAACAAATGCCTAAGCAATTATTTGCTACCAAATGGAAGTATTATATTAGAGTCAAAGATTAATTATCTTAAAGAGAATCTAGTCCAATGGTTATCATTTATGAGAACTAGAATGAATTGCTCACCTTCCCATGACCATTAGTTAATAACACCAAGATTTAAACTAGATTTTCTTTTCTTTTTTTTTTTTAAATTTTATTTATTTGACAGAGAGAGAGAGAGCACAAGCAGGGGGAGTGGCAGGCAGAGGGAGAGGCAGGGTCCCCATTGAGAAGGGAGCCCAATGTGGGATTCCATCTCAGGACCCTGGGATCATGACCTGAGCTGAAGGCAGACGCTTAATGACTGAGCCACCCAGGCACCCTGACCTTCATATTTATATTTATTCTTTCTTTCAGGCTGTGAACTTGTACCTCATGCACCACATATGATGTCACTGTATGTTACAAGCTACTGGGTCTAGGGTAAAATTCTTCATGGCCCAAACTGTTACATATGCAGGACATTGAGTCTGCAATTGTTTCCCATAACCCTCTGAGAAGAGTTGCAAAATTCCTTTGAAAACTTCCTCAAATCCTTCAGATTAGAGTCCCAAATAGCCCTGGGATTGAACTAAACCAAAGGTTAAGCCCCTGAGGCAGTTTTCAGAACTAATCTGAACCAGACTTGCCTATCACCAGCTCACAATACTTTCTGTCACAACATCCCTCTGTGGCAAACATGTTCCTAAGCCCTTTCAGACCCCAGACAGGATCACCACTTTGGTATGACCCATTAACAACTTCGCAGCCCCAAGATGATCTAGCTCCCTTGCTATGTTTCTGAGCTCATCTTCTCTTCCCCTCCTATCTGTTTGTTTGTTTGTTTGTTTTGTTTTTTTTAAATCTTCCATGCACTCTTGCCCCATCACAGGGTACAGAACATGCTAAGCACAAAGCCCACTCTGGGGACTTGGTGTTTGCTATTACTTCCACAAAACCTGCTCCCCACTGCTACTCAGGTCCTGCCTCAAAAATCACTTTAACAAGAAAACCTCTTCTGACTAATGCATCTGAAATAGCTTTTTCATACCCATCACTACTATCCCTTAATTCTGGTTCATTTTCTTCTTAGAATTTTCTATTATTTTGATTTCTTATTTATTTGCTGTTCCCTCTGACACCCACAGAGTTCCCATATATGCCCCAGAAAAGAAGGGCCTTTGATTTTATTCAGCTGCTCTGCTCTTTGGCACATAACATGAGCTCAATAAATATTTGTCATTAAATAAATGTGACTCTGTGATAAAATTTAACTCACAACACCTAACCTTAACATTAAATCTAGCCACTAAATTATGATACTTATTTAAAATGTATGTGAATAACCTCAAACTCATAAGACTGCTAAAGTTGAGACATAAATCATGAAGCAAGGAAACACTAACAGTTGCTTTCTAATGGACACTTGAGCTCAGTTATTACTGTCTTCATGGCTGCCTTGTATTTTGTTCATTTGTTTATTGTTTGTTTTTTAAGTAGGCTCCATGCTGGGACTTGAACTCACAACCTTGAGATCCAGACCAAAGCTGAGATCAAGAGTTGGATGGTTCACTGACCAAGCCACCCAGGTTCCCCTGCCTCGTTCTTCTACTTGCATTATGTGCATTCTTCAATGTTCAACGATAATTCATTGAGTATTCACTATTGCAGGGTACTCACTTTTCACAGAAACAATCACATGGTATTGATTCTCACACTGTCCCAACTTTAATGGTGAACATGGTTAGATGCCAACAGCCACCACTTCCTTTTTCATTTGGACAAGTGAGTAAACGTTTTGCTTCTGATCAGGGACCCTGTTCCCTCTCTTGAGTGTGGGGCTCAGAATAATAGCCAAAGACAGAGGGTCTTATGAGGGTGGTGGTCCCTGGACTTGGTGAAGAATGAGCCTCCATGTGGTGACTTTGAGTGCTACAGGAAGAGGAGAAATGACAGCAAAGAGGAAGGGAACCACGTGGTGGTGACCAGAGGCAAGGAGCTCCTGGTTATATATATGAAGCTGGTGGGTCTCAGTGTGGACCTCTGTGGCAGGGACAGGGCTTGAGTGCTCAGGACCCCAGCTGGGAACCGAAAGAACACAGGAGGGGATGGGACTCCAGAGATCTTACCACAGTGAGGACTGGAGCTTATTTCTCACTGGCATTGTTATGGCCATTGTTGTCACTATAATGAGTATACCTCAGAATGTACAGTCAAAGCCTCTGAAAAAAGCATTAGATGCAGTGGAAAGTAGAATATAAGCCTTAAGAGTTGAACCTAATGATGGGACCTAGAGAGTCCCTTAACTTCTCTGAAGATTCTTGTGGTTTATAAGAAGAGAAATACTGTTACATTGTGAGACTGTTGGTAGGATTAGTGACAACATGTACAAGGGTTAGCCCAGGGCCAGCCCTGCTATAGGTGCTCTATAATTGAGAGCACTCTTTTCATTCTGAGGGTGCTGCCCAGCTACCAAACGCTCTAACAAACGAGCTTGGAAAGTAAGAAAAATACATTTAACATATTGCTGAAAAGAAAAATAATTTAGAAAACACACACAAAAATCCAATTTGATTCACAAGATAAGCAAAAAGTTTAGTCACACCTTGGATAAAAAAAGATAGCCATGTTGCTATTTGGGTTTTACAACATTCTTAGCAAATCTCTTAGATTATTCTTTAATATAAGAATTTGTTAGATAAAATATTTTATATTGTTTTTTATTAGTGAAATTTGTTCTAGTTCATGAATTTCAACTGGTCTTAGATATATTCTACAAAAAAAAAAAAAAGAAAAACAGTACTTAACAAGGTTTATTTCTTTCTGTTAGGCTCAACAATGTGACAGTTGAGAGGAAGAATCAATTAAAGTTGATAAACTCTGCTTTTCTCTTTAGATCATTAAATAATTGCATGCATCATAGATATAGTTTTAATATAACATTTCAACTCTAGGTCCAGAGTTGCCTTAAAAAGAATAACACTCTACCAAATTTTTATATACAAATAGAACAAAGCCTACATAATCCTGTGTGAGTTTTACTGGGTACATACTATACTCACTTTTGGATCGGTTTCCTGCTTCTACTTCTACCCCACTGATCAGATTGAGGTTTATGGTTCCAATGACCTACACTCCAGTCCCTACTTCTTAATCACCATTATTTTTCAGATGGGAAAATTGAGCCTTAGGAAAGAAGTGCTGGAGTGGTTGGGTGGTAGTCAGTTGAGTGTCTGACTCCTGGTTTCATTTCGGGTCATGATCTCAGGGTTATGATTTCAGAGTCTTGAGATTGAGCCCCACTTCTGGTTCTATACTCAGTGCAGACTCTGCTTGAGATTCTCTGCCTCTCCCCCTCCCTCCCACTCATGTGTGGGCACACACTCTCTCTTTCAAATAAATAAAATCTTAAAAACAACAACAATAAAAAACGTTTCTTAAGGTCTCTCATTATAAGGGGCAGGATAAGGATGCACTCTGAAGTCCAGGACATTTCACTCTATGGTGTGAAT